TCTCTCTCTCTCTCTCTCTCTCTCTCCCTCTCTCTCTCTCTCCCCCCTACCTTCTCAGTCGCAATCTACTTCTGGGTTCCTCCTACGGGACTACTGCAGTATGGGAGATGGTTACGAATTCTGATGGTATCTGAGACAGCAACATTGGGACTACAAGTTGAGGACTATTTGGGGATCTGATTCATCTTCCTTCCGGAGATGTACTTGGCATTGTGAGATCGATATCTGGGATATTGTGAGACTTGTCATTCATGACATTTCAGATTTTCGTCACTTCTGACAGTTCAAGATACTGTCTTTGGAAACATTGAGCTGACGTCATCTTCCCTCTCCTCCTCCTTCGTCTCTCCTCTCTCTCTCCCTTCGTCCGTGTATGATCTCAGCCCCTGGCCCTTCGTCTATTCTCGAGGCCAGGGCATTCACACCCTGATGAATGTTTGGGAGTGTTCGATTGCAGTCCGAGTCAGGTCTGAGTCAGTCAAAGGTATCTCAAGTCTTCCGCTTGCATTTGTACTAACTCTGTATTATCTGGTCGGTTCTGGGAATCTGCGCCATACTTTTGACTGTGTTTCACGAGTATGCAACAGTTTGGTATCGGAGCAGACCAGCATTGGATGACTCACCATTAATTGATTGATTGATTGATTGATTGACTGATTGATTGATTGACTGATTGATTGATTGATTGATTGACTGATTGATTGATTGATTATCAATACCTGCACTCTGTTATCATTATGCAAGGAACATGAATGTGGACGAAGCACAGAAATCCAGATTGCAAAATCACACTGAAGTCCAAGTAGTCAAAGCAAGAGCAGATAGCACAATGGAACCGAGTAACCATCCATTTGAGAACGATACAGAAGAATTGTGAGTCAATGTCCAAGCCCAATCGGGCAACACCAACAGCATAACCCAATGTAGCTCTCTCTCTTGAATGGCGCCAGGCGCCCTACCTACTCTACAGCCTATCACTACAACTACAGCATGGAAGCAACCAGACAACTTGACGACCAGCGAGTGATGATGTCAACACCAATGCCGGCCTCCTCTCCACCAGGTACGTCCCACTCTTCCCCCTCCCTCTCCCTTGTTATCCCACACAGCGCCATTCGCCTCCGAAGAACCACCTTCGCCCTTCACGTCCTCCTACGCCCACAGGCAGCCCGGCTATGGCCGCCAGCGCCCTGCGCCCAGGCTGCGCTCTACCGCTTAGCGCCAGCCTGCCCTGCTCAGCCTAGCGCAGCGCAGCACACATGCATCGCAGCAGCGTGTCGGCCTTGCTCGCAATGGCCAAGATCCCTGCCCACTCGCCCTCCCTGCCTATATGTCAGTGTTGCGTGTGGGCGGCCTCCCTTGAGCTTGCGCCTGGGCCCCAGTACCTGTACCCAGGCCCAATGCGGTTGGGGCCCAGGAGATGCAGTTGCGCCTCTTTCATCAAGGCCTGCGGCCAGATTCAGATAGTGGACCGGTTTCCTATTTGCATTTTCGGCCTCTATATCCAGCATGCATTGCCGGCCTCACGTTAATGTGCACAGGGCCTAACCAACTCTGGGGCCCTGGGATATCAGCATTTCCAGAGCTCCGATACTCGGTGCACTCCAACCAACTGGCGTGCTGCAACTGTATGGACCCCACTTCGTGCAATGTTTGCACAGAGGGCTCTTGTTGATTTGCTGGCCCGCCTTCACTTAGGGCGGGCACGAGGCTTGCTGGGGCCTTAGCCCAGAACATGTACATCATGGCAAGGCCCCTTCTTGAGGGCTCAATCCTCACATTCCATCCCCCTTAGCTTCGAAAGTCCGCTGAGATGCTTACTTCGCAGGTGCCTTCCCTTTTAACATTCTCTCATTATCTGCCACCACTTGAGGAGCTGTGTCAATCAGTTCCTCTCTGGTGAACCACCGATCTTCCTTCGGATCCGTATGATGCCTAAATCGGATGCGATACTCCCGCTTGGGTTTTGGAGGCCTTCCTCTACCCAGTGACTTTGGAACAGGCAGATCTCTGTGATCCACAATGTCGTCGATGTGCAATCAGACTCGTTTTCAAACACACTTTTCATGCATGTAAACAGCAATGCAGCATACTGGCGACATGCGCCCACTCAAAACTCAGAGATATGGCTTTCAGATACGAGTTCACTCTCAATTGGCTATGGCGACTTCAGCGCCCAAACATCTCATTGTTCACATACACTGGATCACCCTGGATATCCCACACCCATCACTCTATCACTCGAACACACACACACACTCACTACTAACTACAGCTATGGCAGCTGTCGCTGCATCTACCCTATCGCTATGCTAACTCCCTCTCTCTAGCCCACTGCGTCCTCTGGGCTCATCTGCAGACCTCCTTGCACAAGTCGCTGTGGCAGCGCTTCCGCATGGCTCACGCAGGAATGAATGAATGGCTGGGCGCTGCCTCTTGATTTATACTTCAGAAACTCGTTGGTCTGCCCTTTGCCATCGGCCCTTGGTGCTTACAGTCCCCCCCTGTGGTACTTGCTGGACCGGACTGGGACTGACTGGACCTTCCGTTGACTGACTGTGGACTCACCGCTATCCTACCGCCGTTGCACTGCTGTTGCACTGCGGTTTAGTCCACCACTTGCCTCACCACTTGACCACTTGCCCACTTGCCTACCTTCTAGAAGGTCTACAGCTAAGCTTCCAGAACTCACTAAGACTCCTACGCTATAGACCTACAGATCGAACCCCTGAAGGTCTACAGCTAAGCTTCCAGAACTCACTAAGACTCCTACGCTATAGACCTACAGATCGAACCCCTGCTGTCTATGGACCTACGACAGGTCTACCAACTGCCTAC